GGGAGAGGACAGTCTGACTCCTCTGAGTCACTCGATTTTCCTGAGAGAGTCAATAATAGAGTACACAGAGTTTGTAAAAACCAGTGGTAATTTATCATTTGTTAATAAGGCTCGGGTGTGCAAAGTCCCATACTAGTAATATCAATATTTGTTGTTATTCTTTATTTATTGTTTGTCCATACTTTATGCTTATTCAAATTTAGTCTTTCACTAACATTTTATGGTAATTCTTTCATTTAGACAAATGTCAAGACAAAGTATACCCAAAGCGTCTCTACTATATGTTATCTGAGAGATCAACCGAGAGTTTAACGTGGTCTAATACGAAATTGAAGTTATAAAATTTTTATTTAGACAGGGCACCTCGAACGGGGCCTGGGGCGATACCAATCAGGTTTGGGTGGATATTCTTTATCGTGAAATGGGGGGACGAATGTGGATATACGGCACTCGACAATAGCTCCGGAAGTACATTGTCAACGCCCATGGTGACCACAAACGACACCTCCACTCACAAGCGTCATCTTTTAAGGTGAACAATCGCGGACCATGGTAATTACCTTTTGGGAATTTACTAACTCGTGGGAGAGACTGTTCCACGTTACGATTGGGTGTTCGTGGGGGTTTTATATTATTAGCAGCGGCGGTGACTCGGACTGGACACCAACCCCCCCCCACTGAAAAAAAGAAAAGACGGTTTCCCACCGAGACTCGTCTTTTTCAACGCTTGGTGACTGACCGGAAGCGGAGAGCACGCGCGGCGCGCAGAATACACCAGATTATTCAATTTTCTTTTTCATCTGTACTTGTATTCATATTAACTGTTTGGACACGTAACGATTTAACAAACAATTTTGGGAACCCAAAAGACAAAAGGAAACTTGGTGATAAAATGTTACTGCTACTTTTTATTTCGATTTATCCTAATTTTGGTCCAAATGTTACGTTAACCAGGTCAAGAACATTAAATTTAATTTATACTACATCGTGTCGTTGACTACCTGGAGTTACATAGGACTCTGATTTGTCGGAGTGACTGTAACTAACAACCTGTGGGACCCGGAAGGTACCACCTGTACTTACCCACAAGCTTAAACACCACAAAACCACTCGACAATACGTGTTAAACTTCTTCTGCGGTGAGTAGATTTATACCTTTCGTCTCGTCATACTCCGATTCCCACGTAAGTGTGGGATTATCAGGCAAAAGACCACCGCGCGTGGCTCTCCTGTCAAACAGAGTAACCAAGTAGAAAAGTCTTCCAAGCAAAGCCGAAGTGTTCGCCTTTTGAGTTCTGCTTGGATATTTGAAATGTGTGTGTTCGAGTACACGTGCCTCTTACGACGGAAGTTTGGCAACCAGTCGTCTATTCCCCCATTTCGGTGTTGGGCCGTTAAGATGGGCCTGTCGAGGCGGGTACCTCGTAGCGGCTGAAAGCCGTCTAAAGTAAGAGTACGAGCGACAGTTAGACCTCTAGTTGTGCTGATGTCCCGGCCGAGTATACGTCAATATATAGTCTGTTGCAGGCAATTTGTTTGTCAATATGTGTGTATTCAGTATGGACGGTTGGATGGCTAGAAACCCGCCATCAGATGGCGAAAACTGTACAAAGTTGACAGTTTCGCTGTGACAAGTTGTGAATAATAGACGAAGTGAGAAATATGATTGTTGGCGCCTACAGAACTTCCTGAGAAAGGATTTCTAAACATTCTATAGGCGCAAGAACACTTGCATTAGATCGCGCACTAGATACAAAAACTCCACCCAGTAAGAGCCCGGCACGCGGGGGGGGTTTACTAGGGACACGGGGGGTTGCCGTCCCACCTGTTGAGGCAACCGGTGAAACGGCAAAAAAAACGAAATAGTAAATATTCAATTTGCAAAGCTGATGTTCAAAAAACACTGTGTCCCATGTAGTCCTTATTAGCTGCCTTATGTTTATACTATCTGTGTCGGACTCCGCGACACGAGTGACGACGAGAGACCAGTAAACACCACCGCCCCCAACGTGGGCGGTCCACGTGCCGCGCGCGCGCGGGCTGCAAGACGACGCTAGTAACTGAAGACACGCACAGAATCATACTCGTTCGACCCGCCTGCGCGGGGCCCGGACCACCCCGGGGGGAGGGGGGAGGGCCAGCCACCCACGGCCGACGCCGCGGCAGGCCCCCCCGGCAAGACAGTCCAATATGCCACCTTTGCCTTTCGGTAGCTTATAAGAATACTCCAACACCTAAGCCTGTCTGGTCATGCCATTCTGCCAGACCGACCGCAGACACGTCCAAGCTTCGAGCCGCAGAGACACACACGCACACCCTGCTTCGTAAACACTCACGCCGCCTCGAAAAAACATATAGCAACCTAAATAACAAAATCAACGTAGACGGTCGACGCATAAGATGCATATATTTCTCGACCAAGAGTGGTTCCAACACTTTGTTGTTGAAAAAACTCCTTATATCCGTTAGCGTAACTCGCTAGCACCAGAAGCTAACAATAGCGATCTCCGGTACCGGTGCGCTCTCTCTCTCTCTCTCTCTCGCTCGCGCACGCACACAAAATGGCTCGTTCCACACACACAGAGCCGAGCTTTAATGAAACACAGAGACCCAGACGTAATAGTACTGTACTGTATCATATTATTTTCGAATCAATAATTTTCCAAATTATGATTATTTTTTTAATAACCATTTGTTTTCCTCCTGGTCTCTCTCCCCCTGTCATGCCTCTGCGCCCCCACTTTGGGAACCACTGACATAAGTGAAGTGAGAAACAATTCTCATTTACCATGACAACGTGGCCAAGAGGCAGCAAGACATTAAAACAAAGGTACAGCTATTGCAATAAAACAACACTACACAGAATTGAGACATCACAATATATACAGTTGATACAATAATAAAGATACAGAGAACACATTAAAGGGCAGCTGCAGTAATCAGATATTGTTTCCTGCTGGTCACTAGCCGCGGCACACTGGCAGGGGTGACGGCTGAAGGACTTTAAGATTGAACAATTAAACAAAACTGATTAATTAAATTGCAGTTACCACATCTGATGCCAGTGGATCTGTCTGGATGACTACAGAATACATGTTACACTAATGTGTTGGACAGGACACTGGTCACCTTGTATCTATGTTTTTGAAACGTGTTAAAATAACATGTGAAATCCCCCATCCTACTACTCCTGTGGGATGACATCAGTGATTGCCCTTTGAATGTAATAACTAAAAGAGGGACACTATTGAAAAGACTGTGTGATAAATCTGGGTCATCTCTACAGACCCTCCAATGCGTTCAGCAGCCCTGTGGTGGAGAAAATGGAAGACAACTATCAGATCCCTTCATCCAACCTCTGTCTGAGCCAGGCCCCCATCTGCATCTCTGTACCCAGCAGGTACCCCCCTTTTTTTCTGTATCAACGTTTCTATGGTGATAAGGTAATAATGGTTGTATTGAGGTGAACTAGGATGCTGTCCCCTCTCTTCAGGCCCTTTGAGAGCAGCTCTTCAGAGCCCAGTATCGAGGAGAAAAAGCTCCAGCCCCCTGATCCTGGTGAGTCCTGCATACACTGTTTAACAACTAATACATCTATTATCTGAAGCTCCAAAGAGCGGTGTAGGATGAGTCCTGAAACCTGGAAGTGTGCATTTTAGCAATTCCGGTCCTCTTATCTGGAAGTCAACACTTTTTTTAACTTGTTTGTGGTTAGATGCCTGAAATATAATATGTGGTTAACACACGCTGAAGAGATTTCTACCCACTGGGGAATGTCTGAATCTTCGATGTGTTTTAGCAACAGTGGTTGCGATGACTAAAAGAGACTTGTTTATATCATAGCAGTGGAGGCCTGCTGTCATGAGACCGTGATTTCGTTTGTTTATAGCCTTGTTAGCTCTTTACATCTGGCGATTGCATTTACACGTCAACAACCTTAAAGCGGTGTTAATATGTGGAGGTTATTTTGCTAAACAGAATTTATGAGTATCATAAACGTGTGTTTCACACAGATTCTTTTCACTTGCAATATTACAAAATCACTTTGAAAAATACCATTGCTTATAGTCGAGGGAGCCCTTGTGGTGCTTAACTTCTGAGTCGGCCTCCAAAAAGATATCATCACTGCACCACTCTGTTACTCTGGGATCATTGGCATCTTCAAGAGGCTTTGCACTAGGCAGGATGAAAACAATGCTTAGAGTTCATCTGTACAAAGTGTATGTATGTGCCAGTTAGTGCTGCGTACCGGTACGCCGAACCGGTACTGGACTTGTAAAAGGTTTCGGTTGAAGTCCGGTTAAAACCGGAACGTCAGGAACCGGTACCAACGTACATGACGGGTGCAACGACAATGCCGAAATTTTTGTTCTCACCCCCACAAGAAAAAAATTTCCAGGGGTGTTTGATTTACATTCTTCTCCCACCTTTCCAACAGATCTTTCGTCGTCGTCCCTTGGTCCCGAATTTGTACGTGTCTTCAGTTCGGACCTCTATTTTTGTCCTTCGGAGCTTTGGTCTCAGGCCGGGACCTCTGATTTTGTCTCCGAGACTTGGTCTCAGGCGGACCTCTGATTTGTCCTGCCGGAGACTTGTCCAAGGTCCGCACCCATTTGTCCCCCGTCGAGAATTGGGGTCTCCAGGCCCCCACCAGGACCTATACAGATTATGTCCCCTCGAAACTTGGAGGGTCCACATCAGGTACGGGAAAACCAACCACTCATATTGGTCCCTCCCCCGAGAATTTGGTCCTCAGGAGACCGGACACCCACTCTGAATTTTTCCTCGGAGACCTTTAGGGTTCCTAAGGCCCGGGCACCCACCTCAATAGGTCCCCCTACGGAAACTTGAGTACTCAGGAATCAGAAGAGCACACAAAAACAAAAAACACCCCTTCCGATTAATATAAGCCTCCGTGACTTTGGGCTCCAGGAGCAGGACCTCCCAATGATTGTCCCCCCCCTGAGACCATATATGGGTACCTCAGCCAAGGACCAACCTGATTGTCCTTCCGGAGACCTTTGGTCCCCCCCTCAAGTTCAGGACCACACCTTGTTCCTGAGACTGGTCCCTCAGGCCCCGGAGACCACACCACACAAAATAAGATTGTAAGCACCCCGAAAGACATATAAAGGTCATAAGGTTGAAGAGCACCAGACCGCCAGAAGATAAAGTCGAAAAAACCCCGAAGCCCAAGAGTAGAGGGAAAGTAAGAGACACAAGATGAAACCCCTAAACAAAATCCCAGGTTAAACAAAGCTCACACCCTAGAGCAAGACAACCCCACGTTGGTTTTTCCCGTAACAAGAGAGGAGTTCCAGTCCACCCAGTCCCGGGTTTTCCCCGGTCCTAATTTATTTCCCGGGAAACCAGTCAGTGGCAAGGGGGGGTCCGTGATATCGACCAACCCCGTTCCAGTCCGGCAACCCCCCGTGGTTTCCCCGCTTGAGAAGCACTTCTTAAAGCCCGGGTGAACAAAGAGTATGACATGACTACCGTAAGAACCAAAGAGGTCCGCCGGGCGGAAAGTGTCGAGGTTTCCCCTTCAAATAATTGGGAAGGAGTTAAAGTCCCGACCCTTAAACGCCACCGCCACGCCAAGAAGACCTGAAGGGTTCACGACCCCCAAACCCCGGGACACCCGACTCGTACCTCAGAGGGACCCGTCCGAACCCCACCGGAACCCCCGTCACGGGACCCGGTTTGTCACAAAGTCCGTCCAAATCTAGATCTAAATTACATAAACTCTACTCCCTAACCTACTACCATAACTTCTCTCAACCTCCCCAACTTAATTTAGAAAAGTAGACACAACAACATAATATTAGTCATAACACACACGAATTAAGAGACCTTACAACACACCAACAATATACTCACAAATTTAACCTAATGTATACACATAATACCACATACCTACACCCATATTAAGAAGTTAGAGAAAACAATACATAAAAGAATTAATAAATATATAAATACCATAAGGTAACACAACGACGTCCGATCCACTATTCACGAGTAAAATCAAAAGCCCGAGTTAATACAAATACACACAAACACATAACACAGACAGAAGAAATAGAAAGACCAATATGTGACACATATTTAATACACAGAAAAACACCACAATTATATATAAATCCCATAGGTTCCTTTCAAAATTAATGTGAAAACTAAAATGGCAATAAATTGCATTTAAAACCGCCACCAATATAGAGATTTATGTGAAACCGTACAGAAGTTTTGTTAGGTTTCTGAAGAAGTACCCGTAGCTTACCCTTAAAATTAAAAATCAGAAATGAACGAAGGTATTTTCATAAGTGAACCACAATTACAGGGTGATGTGAAAAGGTTTACTTAATATGAAGTTCCCCTGATTAGAAATTAAGGTACCCAAACACATACTAAACCTTAATTACCTTTTCCTTTCATACTAAACACTTTCACTTTGAGTAGTTCTTGCACCTACACCGAAACTTCCGGGCACAACACACGTAAAAGGAGTACCACCGTACACGACCCTTTCCCCATTGAAATGGGACACACCTCACGGCCGTCTACAGCCATGAGGTCCCGGGAAGACCCTCCGGACAAGGGTGGGATTAGACAACCACCAGGGCAGACTCCCCCGTCTCCTCGGTCCCCCGTGACCGAGTCGTAACCCAGGTTTTGTGACACAGATGTGTGGTGGCTGGTTGTCTTTCTTAGTTCCATTTGGGGTGCCGACAAATAATTGACCCGTTAAAACGAACACACCCTTTTTTACCATCCATATCCCGGGTCTAGTTGTGGTCATTGTACGCCGGTCCACTAAAATGTTTGTAGAATGTTAGGTTCTTGGCATGTAAAAGGTGAGGTGGCCCCAATAATCGTCCAATAAAGGTACAGGTCTCCACTCCCGGCCCAACAACGAGGTCCGTCATCCCCGCCCCTCCCACCATTCCTCAACACCTTAACCTCCCTACCATTCTACCCCTCAGCCATCCGAAAGCCACACCCTTAGACTCCTGCACCCGACACTCAGAAAGGATTACGACCTTTGTAGTTGTTCGTTTTTGGTGGTTCTCCTTTTAAATTTTCCAGAGAAGGTCCTCTCTACCAAAAGTCCCCAAGGTATCCTCGGTTCCTCCCCCACACACCCCACTTGTTGTGGTTTCACTACGACCTGTATTTGTATAAAACCCGGGTTTAATTACCTCCATTTTTGGTTGACAAAATATTTGAAAAAAGCCCACATGCCGTTAATTGATTTTTCTTACAAATGACATTATAGGTAAAGGTTGGAAGGTTATCCCCGACTCAACCGTCCGCCCCTTTCTAACCTTTTCTTCAAGGTGAGTAGGTACCCTTTTACATTAATTTACATGTGCGGCTCCTACTTGATGGAGTTAAGTCAGTTGTACGTAGTGAAGTAGTAAAATAGATAATCTTGTAAACCACATTTTAGCGTTAACTATTCGTCATGTAAAACACACGAGAAACTCAGTGTCAATGAAAACTGGGGTTTAAGAAATTAGATCAGTAGAACAACAGATATACACACATGGATTAAGACCGAGTTAACCCATATTAAGGAACGATAATCCGTAAGGACTCTATACTGCAAGTGATGAAAATCTAGTAACCTACTACGAGTTAATCCAGTACAACACTGGAAACCAAACATAACATAAGCATAGAAATAAACTAACCTGTAAAATGTCAAACCTCTCCAAATTGTATTTGTGATCAACCAGACATAGACGAGTCTGGCTGCCTTCCTTTTCCCGTGAAACGACCGCTCCGTCAACCCAACCGATGGAACACCCCGTCCGTACCTAACAGTATCAGCCTCTCCAAGAACAACTCTGTCTCCCGTGATACCCGTTAGGCACTCTGGGGGACGGACCATGAGTTTCCCAGGTGGACTCCTTCTCTTCGTCCTCTTGGTACGAAATTCAAAGGGTGTACCACCATACGTGACCGTGATCACGACACACATGGACCTGAGTGTAGGTCCAAGTCAGCCTGAGTTCAGGTCTCAAGCGTCCAAGTCCAGGCCTAGAATATTCAGGCCTGAACACAGTCAACACCTCATTGATTTCACTTGAATAACACTCGATTAATAGTTAACTTTGTATTGAGTATTGTTGAGTTTAAGTTTGAGCTGTCCAAATACACGGAGGGAAGGTTGACACAGATGTGGTACAGAAAGATCTTGAGATGTACACAATGATTGATGTGTTGTGTTGATGTATGTATCACTACATGGTATGTTCTGAGTTATACGGTCGCGTGTTCAGATACCAAGAACAAGTTCTTTGTCTTATAACTGTAACAGACCCACTTCACAACGAGAAAGCCCGTCTGCATATAGTGGTAGTATGTTTCTCCAATCGAATCATGTGATCGGTTTATACCGTTGGTCGTAAGGGTGCGACAGTCAAAGAGTGATAAAGAAAATACAGACAAAAAAAAGGGAAATGCAGTGGTGTCTAGAGAAACGCTCAGCAACGCTTAAACGCTCTGAACACTCGAGTCATTACCGGCGGCTAATAGACAACTATCGGTATACTTGT